CCTGCTTATGCAGGGGGTCGGACTCGATGATCTATTGAGGTCCCTTCCAACCCTAACATCTATGAATCTATGAATCTATAAAGTTAGTCCCAAGACAGTCCACACACACAGTGTTACTGCTCAGTATGGCATCTGCATGTACATTACTGCACAGTAACTAATTGGGCATAAATTTGATACCTGCATGATGCAGGTATCAAATTTATACTCAAGTTGGTGTAAGTCGCCATATTTACTGTGCAGTACGGGCATACATATATAGACTGTTACCAGATTTGCCCATTACTTTGGGGTGTGCTCATTTATTAGGGATAGTTTCTAGGGTCTTGGTGATTCTGTCAATGTGCTGCTTGTGTTACTATATGGAGCTGTATCTCTCCCTTCTGCAAGCCCTCACCCCCAATGGAGCTATCTTGCAGGACTCAATCTCAATGGGGATGGGTTCCTCCAGTCACCAAATCAGTGATACACACAAACACACACAAATTAATGTGACACGCCTGACCCGGCCGGGTTGATCAGCATGGACAGGCTGACACCCTCATATGCCAAGAATCAGTTCATCAGAGCAACAATACACTGCAGTCAGACACAAGCACACAGGTGAACAGAATCCCTCTGAATCCAGCGGGGTGTCCAGCTGACACTCTCATGGGTCAGCATTCAGTTCATAAGGGCACATCTGAGTCAAACTGGGTCAATCAGCCTGTACAAGCTGATCCCCTCATGTGTTTCAAACTCAGCACGTCCCAATCTTTGGCCTCTTGATGAGCAGACCCCACAATATTTTTTGGGCTTCACAGGGATCTTTAGCTTAGGTAAAAGAAGTGTTGCTGCAGAGCACGGGAGGAAAGAGAAGCAGAGAAGGAAAGATATACCCAGTTACTACCAGTTTGACTATAAAAGTTATTTATTGCTAAGCATATGAAATATATAATAGTACTAGTAGTAATAGACATGCAAAAGAAAAACAAACACCAACAATGACAATACTACCCTGGTTTCACTAAGTATTTGGGGAAACTTAGCTCAAGCTTAACTGATACAGTTCAGGTTCAGAAGTTTATGCCTAGAAAGAAGACAGAGAACGCTGGGATCTCACCTAGTCCACGGTACTCAGGCTGCAAAGCTGACAGGCACAGTCTGTAGCACAGTCCTTGAAGGGAGAGATGATCTGTTCTTCCAGCGTCCCAAGAACGACAGGGGATGGTGTCAGCACAGGGGTTTTCTTCTTCTCCTTCTTTCCTCCTGCTTCTACTTCTTTTCCTTCCTTTTCCTCTTCCTCTTCTCCCTCTAGCAGCACACACACTTACAGATTTTTATACCCTCAGTTCAGCTGCTTCGAAGCACCTTCAGTAGTGTAAATCATTGTCTTTTCTATTGACAAGGGGTTATCTGGTTTGGACCATCTCAGGAAACTGATTGATAATCAGGAAACACTTAAGATTAGGGAGTAACCCAAATACTTGGGAGCCAGCTTGAGATTCCTATGGGTGGCAGATATACTGATGGGATATCTCATGGTTTCTTCAGGAACAATAGATAGCTTGCAGCATCAGGATTTTGGATTTTTACTTGTTGTGCACAAGCCTCAGCTTAGCATGACTTTTCCAGATCTTACTATAGTCTTTTAACAGACTTAAAGCAATTATTGGGGTGCTCATAACCTTTTGTGGAGAGGACTCCCACCAGTCGTCTCGGGAAAGATATGACAACACCTGTGATTAGGGCTCCAACGGGCTGGACGTTGTGATGAACCCTTAACCATTGTTCAAATGTTGCCCATACCCCCTCTGACTCGGTCTCTTGCCTCAGCATTCCCTAACCCGGCAACCGAGTTTTAGTCAATCAAGTTTAAATAGGCCTCCCATAGTGGGACCGGGGAATGTACGGCCTGAGATGCCTATTAAACTTAAAGGTGTGTGCGTGTGTCTGGGGGGGAAAATCCTTAGTAAATTCAGATTAGAACTGGCCTGATAAATGCTGAGCTGGGTCTGTGTGAACATGGGTTGATTAACATTGGAAGCACAGATTCCCCATCATGCGCTCCCCTGCTTCTCTGGTCCCAGAATTCACTACAGTCTCTGCTTCAGGCTTTCTGTTCTCCATCTCTCATGTAAATGTATGGTCATCTGGTTCCATCTCGGATGCAAATGAGACCTAGGGCAGTTGTTTCACTGTTGTCACCCTTATCTGGGGGGTCTTAGGTATGTCTCTCACTGCATCTGAATCAGTTTCATTTATGTAGAGGAGGGGAGGGAGGGCGGGGGGTGAGTCAGACAGACTGCATCCTGTTCCCAAGAACACACAGCTGAGACGTAACAAGACATGTGCCCATACTGCACAGTAATTTTGATTACTGCACAGTAAATGCGCATGTGTAGATGCGCCCACAGAGGAGTGCTCCCAGAATCAGTGGTCTTCACTGAAAGCCAACTGTAGCCAAACTCATGTAGCATAATGAATACCAGTACTTTCACTGGCAGGGGATGGCAGTTGTATGGATGTTGCTTGGAGCTAGGAGTTAATGTTAAAGGTACAGCCTTGGCTTGCTGCTACTCATACAGTTAGAGAATTGCAGGGCTCCTTTTCTGCCTTGCAAATTGTTACCAAAGGGCAAAATGCACTGAATCTGTACAAGATGGATCCTTCCCTTTCTGTGTGCTTACTAAGATAAAGAAAGGATGACTTTGATTTCATAGACTTCATAGACATTAGGGCTAGAAGGGACCTCGTAAGATTATCGGGTCCAGCCTCCTGCCCAAGGTGCAGGAAATCAGCTAGTGTCAAAGTATCCCAGCAAGATAAGCATCCAAATATTTCTTAAAAGTGTCAAGTAAGTGTTTGCACCACCTCTGGGGGGAGTCTGTTCCAGGCCTTGGGGGCTCAGATAATAAAGAAGTTTTTCCTTATGTCCAGCCTAAAACAGTCTTGCAGGAGTCTGTGACCATTGGACCTTGTCATTCCTTGGGGTGCTCTGGTGAACAGGCATTCCCCCAGATCGTGATGCACACCCGTTATGTACTGGGTAACTCAGGGGTAACTTGGCTCAGGGGTAACTTGCTCAGGGGTAACTTGGCTGCCACCAAGTTACCCCATAGCCTGATCTTCTCCAGGGTGAAGAGTCCCATAGCTTGCAGCCTCTCTTTATAAGGCCTGTTCTCTTGCCTGCTGATCATGCGCATGGCTCTCCTCTGGACTCTTTCAAGCTTCTCCACGTCCTCCACTTTGGACTATGAGATGCTGGTTCCATGCCAAAATCTGGAGGAATGTAATCATTCTCTGTAAGTACTGGGGAGTATAGTGTGAGTGAAACAGGGACAGGTGCAGCCATTTTGCATGTGTTATAATCTATCCCTCCTCTAGGACTATCTGATCTTTATTACTACCACCCCTAATACAGCTCTCTGGTCCTGTCCAGTAGGTCTGGAGGACCAGGGCTCTATGATCACTCCACAGAAAGGATAAGTATTCACACCATGGAGGGGCAAACATATGGTCCTGGGTGAAGGTGTGCCATTCAGCTCATGGGGCTTCTTTTGGACCAGAAAACCAACTTCTGGATCCAGCCTGCAAGACTTCTTGCTGTGGTTGTCAGAGCCACTGTGTCATCATGGCTAGCACCCAGAGAGGATAATTTCTCCACCCTGCCCCCCACCCACAACTATATTTCTAGTTTTAGATCATTGCTGAGGACACAAATTGGCAATGGGAGTGGGAAGGCAAGCAGTGGATTCAGTTGCTCACTCATCTGAGTCTCATACCCCTGGTTTACAGGGAATTTAGAGGATGTTATTATGGGCTGTGTGGCAAACAGAGCAGGGGGGAAGCTTTGGCTGGGTATCAAAGCAGCTTTCCATTGGTAAAGATTTTGAGCCAAACCTCATTTCACATGTAAGTCCCTAAGAGGAACTTGAGTAACTGCCTGACTGCAATTTGTATATTTTAGATTTTGTTTCCACTTGTGACAGAGTAGTATCCCCTGTGTATACATGTAACTGTTAATGGGAGGGTGGGGGAGAACAGCTGCTACCTTATCACTCAAGTAGCCTAGTGACTGGGGAACTTACCCAGGGAGCAGGACACCCAGCTTCCATAGTCCCCTTACCCAGAGGGGATTTGATCCTCTCTTTCCCAGTTCCCAGCAAAGCACTCTAACCAACCACCAAGAAGCAGTCCAGGTATTCCCCCCACCATACCTCTTGAGAAGGTGAATTTGCCCCACTGGGAACTCTGTCTCTCACCACATGAATGTGGAGCACCCAGAAAAAGGTAAGTATATAATCAAAGAGAAGTGGGACTAGAAAGGATCTCCAGAGGTCATCTAGTCCAACCCCCTGCCTGAGGCAGGATCATCCCTATTCAAAACATCCTATACAAATCCATAATATAAACTCTTTGTAAAACTACCATCAACCCTGACACAACATAAGAGATAACATCCTAACCTGCTGCAGGAAAAGTGGGGGAACCATATATCAAGACTTAAATAGTTTTTTCAGCATGAAATGAATTGAAAGGGGGACTTTTCATTGTTTTCTACTCTTTTAGATACTGTGCCCTGTGTGACATGACCATCATTATACTGAATGGCTTCTAGGTGCTAATAACTGTGCCTCAACTCTGTCCCAGGTGGGAGAGGAGTCGCCTCTTTGGCCTGTTCAGATCATGACTTTGTAGTGCCTGCTTTAAATGCAACAGAGATATTACATTTTATGCTGATTATTGCCCACTCCAGCAGAGGTTGCATATTACAAAACTCTCGGAGATGTGTCCATGCAGAAGTACTGAAATTTGGAAGGATCAGGATAGCTGCAAGCTCAGATGGAGCACAAGCACTGCCCAATTCCCTGTCCTCTTTCTCAGGGAAAATTCAAAGGAAAAAAAGATGGCAGCCGAAATGTTCTTTTTAGAGGTGAAAAAAGTATAAGGTAGCTTGCTGAGTGTTTTAATTTGGTGGAGCTTCCTTAGAGATGGTGTGGTGCAGAGGACCTGTAGGTAAGCAATGACAGTGATGACAGGGTTGGAATGAAAGACCTGAGAGAAAATGCTAAAGGACACTGGAGAGCTGACTTTGGTGAAAGACATCATGGGAGGAATCTGACAGTAGTTTTCAAGTATTTGAAAGGCCATCATAGAGGAGGAGGAGAAGAAAGCTGGTTCTTCCTGGTCAAGCAAACAAGATGCAAAGTGGTAGGTTTAAACTGCAGCAGAACAGATTTTGAACACATCTCAGGAAAGAGAAGAGAGAAAATATAACAAACTGGGCAGGGAAGTTCTGGAATCTCCTTCATTGAAGGTCTTCAAGAAGAGGCTGTATGGACATGTGCCCGGGCTGATTTAATAACAGCAAATCCTGCATCTCTGCAGGGGGATAAAGAAGATGACCCTGAAGGTCCCTGCCAAGCCTATGGGCCTATAATTCAATGATATTCTTAACACAAGCCAGGGAAAGACCAAGGGCAAATACATAGCCAAAATATTAATGAGTGTCAGCCTGCACCACAGCCTCGCAAATGGCTGCAAGCTGTACTAAATAGTCACTGATCTCAAATAGGGAACAAGAAGTAAGAGGAAATATGTTAACTGATTCTTGTGGAAGAGGCATTTCCCATCCTCCTGTTAGTCCACTGAGCTGGAGACTTGGAAGGAAGGGCTGGGCAGGGCTTCATACTATTTTTCGTATTACTGTTATCCTCTTTTTGGATCATCCACAGAGATAATGTTTGCTATTTTAAATGGGCTTACAGCTTTGTAGCAGGACATATTTTAACTCCTGTCCTTAGGGCGTTAATGGCACTGGTAATAAAGGAAAATTTGGTTAATAAAGATGTATGAGGCCACTGAGATAAAGGTTTTTAAGGAACAGAAAAATAAGCTTTGCTTTCTGTCAGTTCTTGTTTCCATTTTCTGACCACATCAGGAGGTATGAGGGAAGCAAAGAATAGCACAGCTGTAACAGCAACTTGCAAAAACAACCTACAGCTGTCATAAAGTAGCCAAGAGCCATAAATTCACCTTTGTCCTTCCTGCTTCATGGAAAGGTACATCAGCACAGAGTCTCAGTTTTCACCAGCTGACTCCATTGTTCACTCCATGTTTCAAACCCACTCATCTATCACTGCCTTGAAAAATATCTGACCTGTCCATTTATGAAATGACCGCACAGACCTCACTTATCAAGTACATCTGAATAAGAGTGAACAAGAGCAGGAAATGGTAGAAGGTGACCATAAACCTCCTACCCCATCCTGCTTATGGCCTTCACTCTCACGCTTTCTCTTTTTTGTAACAGGTTCTCCATGTAATTCACGTGAATTCTAACTGCAGGGCAGGGCACTCTTGCCAGGGCAGGTAGATGTTCAACCAGTATTTTCTAAATGTTGATTCCCTACCTGATCAGCATGAAACACCCCATGAACAGATCAGTGAGAGCATTTTAAAATCCCCAAATAAAAGATCTTTTGGAAGAAAGAGATGGAGGAAGAAAGATTTTGTAAGGATGCCTTGTCCCTTCTCGTTGCTTCAGTTCAGGGCCTGAGCAAAAAATCTGGTTCAGCAATTTTATGGATAATGTTGGGTTTTTTGTTTTTTCTTTCTTTCTGAACTCCCCCTTCTTGTTGAGTTCCCAGTGTATTGCTCTGGCTAACTGTGTAAAATCAGGCCATGCTCTGTTAGCTGGGCAGCTACTTCACTGGCAGGATAAGAAACTGTTACTATCACCACTACCTTTAACAATCTCCTCTTTAGCTTATGTGGTAGAAATGTGTGGCTCAATGACATAAGTCCTACGTTCCAGCTTCACACATGGTCTGGGCAATGTTTATTTTCATCAAAATTTTCCACAGAATTTTTCACATTTTGGAAGAAATACTGATCAGTTTTGTGGTTTTCAATTTCCCCCAATTAGGGAATATTTTCTAGGAAAGTAAACACTTTCTGTGAAAAAAAAAACGTTTTCTTCCTCTAAAACATTTCATTTCAAAGGAGGGTTTTTTTTAATCATCTTTACCCGCACCCCGCCATTGTTTAGAAAATCATGACAGTGTTGCAGTTAGAGCAACATTTAATTTGATTTCAGAATGATCATATCTACTTAAAGGGATTTAGACACTGCAAGAAATTAACCATTCATAGTTAAAAAAGGAAAACAGAGAAACCAGCACAACAGTGAAGTCCAAATGATGCCACCACAATGTACTCTACCTAGGAGACCAAGGAAATAATCTGGTATTTGGGTTATCAACTAGCAAACTTTTTAAAAGTGTTGGTAGTGAACAGAGGGCACTGAATTGATAAGTAGCTTGTGACTAGATAGTGAATCTAGAATATTGTCCAGGGAAGAGACAGTACTTACTAAAACTCCTGTGAGTAAATTCCAGGTCCCTGCCCTGATTCTAGTATAAGTTGGTACCTTAACAGACACTGAAAAAGGGTCCTTCATCTTCACATGATAATGTATATATTATTTCAATGTATTCTTAATTTAGCTGGAGTTTTGCACTAACAAAGTGAGTAACCTATCACTGCCAAGGGACTTGAGAAGCTTTTCCAGGTAAATATCCAAGAACCGCAGAGTAACAGGAGAGAGAAGTTAATTGCAAAATGGCAAGTAATGAGAGGGTGATTCTGCCCACCAAATTCTACACTCAGAGAACATGAGAAGCCAGGTGAATCCCAACTGTGTGAAAAACAGGAGAGGAAGAGGCAAGACTGTTGGGATGCTGGGAGCCTTGGAGGTCTTTGCTGCAACACGAGGACCTGGAACTGGGTGGTGTCCTGAAATGTCACGACAAGGGTCAGGACCTTGAGCAATAATTTCACGGATTATACCAGTCTCATTTTTCTGCACCTCCTAGGAAGGAAAGAAAGAGAAAAAAGAATGGCATGTGTTTTTCCAAATGCCATTTTGAAAAATACATGCCTTTTAGTACAGGAACTCTATTACCGGATACAGCAAAACCCTTCAGGCTAGCATTAAGGCTTTTGGAATGCCTTGAGCCGGTTTATGTGCCAGGTTCCACCCTATATGAAATTCTGCTACAGGACAAAAAATGTGATGTGGTTCTTCATTTTGTCAGTAAGGAGCAGTCTGCAAGGAGAAGAGAGTGGAATTCTGATCCCTTCTTGATAGAAGTGATTTTTCTTGACCTATACGTAAGATTACAAGATAACCAATAGATGCATAGTATCTGTCTGTCTGTCTGTCTATGCCCCTGGGTCATCCCAATTTGTTTTGTATCAATAGTCTCTGAAGGGCATTCAATTCTATCAAATAATAGTGTATCAAAATGGTAGTTCCATGACATCACACGTAAAATAATATTGTGCCATCATGCTGCCAGACAAAAAAGGATTAGTGACAACCCCACCAATAGTCAAAATAAATCAGGGGCTTGAGCCAAAATGCCATATTGAGAGCTGAGAAGGATTGTTTCCCCTTGGTTACATTGGCACAATATGTAGGTTTTTAGTGTGAGGCACAGTCCTTGTTCTGGGTTCTTCTAAGCATATATTAACCAGCTACTTCCCTATCATTGCAGTGGCAGAGCACTGGCAGTGCTGTCATCTCCCCTGCTTTTATCTATGTCATGTTTCAGGGCACACTTTGTTTTGAATGTTGTTCATTGTAGTTGAGGGCGAGGTTTGCTCAGAGCTCTTTGGGGAAGAAATCATTAAGTTTTCTATGCCTGTGCCATTCCCTTGCCTGCAAGGCCTCTGGGTGTTACCATAATAAAAATGACTACATCAAATTTCTAAAGTACTTAAAACAAACGTATGGTATGGGAAGGGGGTTCAACCTTCTTCTGAACTGAGTGATACAGACCACTGTCCCAGCCTGGGTACCACACTGCAAAGACCACTGCTCCAGTCCAGGGAAGCAAATGCTCTATACCTCTGTAACCATAGTCTCTATGTGGCTTTCCCAATACATTTCTTCATAGCACTTTTGTGGATTGTAAAATGGCTCAGGGACATATTAGAGAAATCTCAAGAGTGTGATCTGTATGCAATGTAGAGGCGAGCAGTGGGATGAATGGACAGAACTGAGTGGGTATTGGAAACAGCAGGGTACTGGAAATAACTAAAACAGCAAGGTATTAGAAAGTGCCAGGACTGAGAGGGCTCTGCATAAATATCTCTGAGCAGCGCCCAGATCTAGATTAGCAAGGGGGGCTGAGGGCAGGCATGAGGGGCATTAACAGACTTATGTTCAATAAAGGAAGTCCAAGGTCATAATATCATGGGGTGAAGCAGTGGGTATTGCTTTATGTGTAACCCTCTTGCACATCCCTGCGGTACAGATGCTGCATAGTGTTTATGGCATGGTTCCTGGCTCTGCTGCACACTTTATCTCCAGGACCCAGGGAGATTCCCCACCTGATAGTCACTTAAAGTAACAAAAAAGACCACTTACATCAATAGTTTTAATTATAACTATCTGATCTGCTTCCTTGGCTGCTTTCTCTGAGTTCTTGATGGTCTCGTTGTCCCATTCAACGAAGTTCATGGCCATCATACCTTCCATGGCACTACAGGGAAAGTTGAGGGAAGATGGGGAATTGAGGAAGAGTATGTAGTTGAGAGGAAGAGGACAGTGGAAGGAAGGAGAGGAAGAAAGGATTCTGGTATCAGAGGTATCATAAGTGATGAGCTCGTGAGAGGGGTTAAGTCAGACAGGCCCAGGCATGCAGATGAGGATTGGGGCCTCAGCTCAGCAACATCCCCTTACAATTTTTTCTTGCCCCACCAACTGCCACAGTCCTTAAAGTTTCTACTTCCCTGTCCCCAGAAGCAAGCTCTGTAGGAAACTTACTCAGAGGCCTGCTGACCAAGGGCCTGGGCGATGTACTGGATGTCTGGGTACCCCATGCAGCTGGAGATGTTGCTACGAGGATAGTAGAAAAGGAATGCAAGGCACATCTCATTCAAGGTACTGGGTCCCCCCTGCAACAAGACAGGGAAATACAGGGCAACTCAACTTTCCACAAACATGCAATGGGAGCTGTACTCTGCATCATGTAGGCATCAGCCCTTTGAACAAGCACTTTGGCTATCCTGGTCCAAAGTGGGGAGTGCAATTATGCACAGGCTGTGTTGGTCATTTTGGAAGGAAGAGAGACAGAGAGAACCATAGAGTCTCTTTGTTTAGCAAAATCAACAAAGAAGCCCCTTTGAATACTGCACAATCAAATCCCTTCTTTTCTTCTGCAAGAACACTGCAGCTTCTTGAATTTGATTTTGAAGGCTTCCTGTGCCCTTTTCATGGGTGATAAATGCAACATCTCTCTATGGAAATGCAATGCAAAGGCATCAAAGTGCTAACAAAATGAGCCAGGAAATGCAGCAGATAGCAAACAGATATGTGCCCTCAACTTAAACTTTGGGTAAAAACAGCTCAAAACTTTTGGGATGCAATAAAGAGGGTGGTTTTGGAAGCTGGTCTTAGAATTTTCTTGGTTGCTTTCTGCAGCCGTGTCCAGATGAGCATGGCCATGGGGTTGTGGTGCCACAAGCACATCTGTGGCACCATATACCGCACATTTAGAAGTTTTCTGTACTGCAAGGGTGTGCTGCCCGTGTATGCACTGCTCCGCCTTTTTTTTCCCCCCCGCAGGTTTTTTTGGCGCCAGGAGGAAAAGTAGCAGCGGTGCAAGGTGTGTCACTGCTAATTATCCCCAGGGAACCAAACGTCCATGCTTGTCTGAACGTTCCCTACCTCTCTGATGGGCCAAATGAAATCTGCCTCTCTGATGACGTAAACAGAATCTGTCGTGTTCAACAGTTTTGAACACAAACATCAGGAGTGTAAAATCCAGTTCCAAGTTGGAACTGTGTGTCCTGGCCCCATTTCTAGTTACCAGAGAGTAGGGTTGCCAGACCTCTAGGATTGCCCTGGAGTCTCCAGGAATTAGTTATAAAGCTCCAGGAGACTGCTGAGAGCCACCCAGGAGATACATGATAGCGCATTCATTAAAATATATATTAAATGTTGAATCCAATTTATGTAGTAGTCCAGTGGGTTTGAAAAATATAATAGTAATGTGCAGTTGCCTTCCTGATGTAAAGTCTATGCACTGTAATCCATAACTGATATGCAGGCACATTTGCGTTGTGTGTTGCAGGCTTGTTGGCATTACGGAAACCTCCCAGAATAGATTCAAACAGAGTTGGCCACTTTACATGGGGATGTTCACTCCTCTGTATTGTTCTTACTATCTGCTAAGTGGCATAAGTTAACAGCCATCATTCAGGGGCCATGTTCTCTATTTTAATTTGATGCAACCCAGATTACAAGATCCAGGATGAACTGCTACAGACTTGAGTCTATTTCTTTAACTGGCCCAAGCCAGGCCCTGTCTCAGAATGACTCAAAACCTAGAAGAATTTGGTGTGAGACCCAGCTCAGATTCAAGCACTGCTACTTGTATCCGTCTCTACCATTCAACGTGGAGAACTGCCTAGGGCAGTGTCATTCATTGGGAGGTATAGCTGGGCTTATTTACATGAGACGTTTACTGTGAAGCTGACTAATTAGCTCTGCAGTAAAGTTACAACATCTACACATGCAGCCCTATTTTAGGCTGCAGTAAACTAATAAACACCGCCATATGATAATACTTGTAACACAGGTACTATCTGTGGTGGTGTTATATAGTGTCCTACAATGTATACATAGATGTGGATGGGGCTGGCTGGGGCATGAGGGTGCTTCAGTATGGGGGCTGCCTTCCAGCTAGTCCTGCACCCTGATGCCCCAGCCAGCATCTTTGCAGGATGTTGAGCTGAGTCAGAGTAGCCCTAGACTGGTAGGCTGACCTCCTGGACCATCTGTCAGGTGGGGCTGATCTGACCTGGCTCAGTGTATTGCAGTCCTGGGTGCAAATGTAAATATGGTGTCTAGGAGCACTAAATTGCCATGTAATGAATTGCCCCAGAGTTTATTGTGTTGCAATAACATAATATGCAGATACGCCCACTGATAACCTTTCTAGAACTAGGGCTGGCAAGACCTTCCTGGAGAGTCTCTCCTTTGCCAGGGAGCAGCTGGGGACCTGTGCCTCATTGATGGGGTGAGTGTGCATGTGTGAACAGGCGGCATGTATTCTGCTTTAGTCCCATCCTCACTGCTCTGGGAACAAAGATCTGTAAGTTTAGCACCTTCCAATAGCTCTAAACTGGTCTTAAAGGCAGAGGAAAATGGGCAAGTAATAAAATCAGGCTTACAAAGGTGATCCCTGTCCTGTCCAAGGTTTCAAAGGTGCATTCCACCAGGATCTCGTCTCCCTGCAGAACACAAAAGGTTCCATGCAGTCAGGGCTGGAAGGGCACAGGGCCTTCCTTCCCCAAGCTGTGCCTGGGGAAAACTGGCTGCTGCCCAGGGGATCTAGGAAACTGAGCAGACAGAGGTTAGAGAACACAGAACAGGATTCACACAGGACTCAGCTTTTCTCATTGAAACTGTGGTTGCTTGCCTGCTGTTCTCAAATAGGTTGACACTCTAATCCTTCCCAGTTGTCTAAGAGGCTTTTTTTTAATCATCTGCATGGCATTATTGACACTAACACACAGGTAGAAATTCTATCTTGGACACGTATGTGCCCAGGTAAACATGTGTGCTCCTTCTGAATGCATAGTGGCATTTAAGGCCTGAAAATACAGCTGGCTAAACTGCATAATTAGCAAGTGTTAGACAGAAAATGAAGCCCTTCCTATCTCTCCCTTCCCCCCTTCTTCCCCCAACAACTGAGGACAGCACATGGCAAGCCAGAGACCAAAGATATAAGCTCCCTTTTATCATATGGAGTTTTAATTTGCATTTTGTAGACTTCTCAGCACAGCACTCAAACCACTGTGCTGCATGACAAACATTACCTAAGCTCTTCTCCAGAGCTGCTTTTGAAACTAGCCCCGTAGGCAGCCACAAGAGGGACATCTATAGAAAATATATGGCAACAGCCAGGGGTGTGAGGCTTGGTAAGATTGCTGTTGTCCAGCAAGAAGGGTTGAGCATGGGTTTTATCCTACAGCTGGGCTTTCAGTGAGGTTGAAGCTTCTCTTGCAGTACTTTGCTCCCATTCATTCCAATGACTATTACATGTAAGGTGCAGAGGCTTAGCTTTAAAAGCAGTGCCCTAGCTACTCAGCAGTTGGGGGAAAAAGATGAGAAGGCCCTCCACCACTTAGTTGGTAATGCCTACATATGTAATGGTTTACATGTGCAAGCTTATGTAGAAAGCAGGATACACATACACCTTACTGACTTAACTAAATAAGATATATAGAGAGCACAAACTTTCATGAACTCGAGTTTACTGCATCAGATGCTGTGAAAGGGGAAGCATAGAGCAATGTATAAAGGTGAGTGCATAAAGCAGCTTATGCAGCCAGGAATAGAATTCCTACCTGCACATAAGTGTCAAAAAGTGTCATGTAGGTGAACAAAAATGGCTATTTAGATGACCAGGAAGGAATAAAATGCCACCATATATGAGAATAGCAGACTGCAAACCACAATAATACTGAGAAAAGCTGGCTGACTATGTGAAGCTTGTTCTGCATTCTCTGGCCTCTGCCTGCTTTCCTTCTCCCTCCAGACCAGTGCAGCCCAGCCCAGCCCAGCCAAGACCCAGATCCAAAGAAAAGTGTACTGCTTTGACGATGAGGATTTCTTTCAGATCCCGTGTTTCCTGCAAGTTGAAGTCATATTTATTGTCTGCACAAATGAACCCCAGCTGCTTGCCATTCCTGCCAAGAATAAACAAAAGAAGAAAATTAGATGTGTTTGCATACACTCCTGAGAATGGGAGTGTTGGGGAGAACCATAGGCACTGACTCTGTGGGTACTTCGGGGCTCAAGAATCTACTGAAAAAAATTAATGGGTCCTCAGCACCCAGGAGTCATGGTCTTTTGGTTTTATATGTTAGATCTCTGTTGTGGCTGCTTGCAGACATTAAAAGAAACAACAAGAAAACAGACTTTACCAGAAGAAGCAGCATGTTACTTCAACCCAGTTCTGCAGCATCTGTAAAGATTGGCCGCTTCACTGGGGTGTTTTGGCACTTGTAGTTAAAGCTGATTCAATCAGCTATTAGAGAAAAGCCCAAAAAAGCCCCACTAAAGCACCTGATCTTTACTGATGCTACAGAGCTGAGTTGAAGTAACATGCTGACTCTTCTGGGCATGTGCAGGGCTCAGCGTGGGAATATGTCAAGTTTAAAGTAAAGCGTTGTTTTGGTTTTTGGTTTTTTTATGTCTGCAAGAGCCTACCCACAAAAACCAAAGTCAGCACCTATGGGGAGATCTTGCTTCCAGATAAAATATGGTAATAACCAGCTTCTGAATTTTGTCTTAGAAACTCAGCACCTAACTCCCCCAGGACTTTCATTTTCACCCCAAAACCCACAGTCTGAATTTTGTGCCTCAAAACTTAAAGCCCAAACACTTCTGATCCAAAAACCTCCCACACCCTGAAACTCAAATACTGAATTATTTGTCTTCCTTGCTCACCAAACGTTCAATCATCCCCAAATTCACCCATAATTCTGCATCCCCAAATTCACCCATAATTCTGCATCCTGAAAGTCAAATCATTCATGGTGGACATGGTTTGGGTATTTTTCTGGACCAGCCTCTCAAGCTTTGGAGGTTCCTTCTGAGATTAGTAAAGGCCCACCTCCTCTTTCCTTTATCGGATGAAATTCACCTGGAAGCAGATGCCAGCATAAGACCTGCTCAGCATTTAAAACATCAAAACAGGGCTTAAATTAGGTTAGCCTGGTGAATAGATCATTTGCTGCACAAGGGGGGAACCTTTCATTTTCTGATTTAGGGCTTTTAGTGAGATATCTAGGCATTGTAGATCTGGTTTAGCAACTGGGGAAGGACTCTGTTGGAGGACTTCTCCCTCTGGTCCATAGACAAGTGGGCTACTCCAGATTCTGAACAAACCCCTCAGGACTGGAGATGGGCCAGGGTCACAGAATTCAGCTCTGAGCTCCCCCATAGTACAAGAGTGTCTAGATCTGGGATTCTGGTCTGAGGGGCAGATTCCCTTTTTACATCCTTGTTTCAGAAGGGCTGACACTGGGGACACCCATGGTGGAGGCTCTTTAGATCTTGGCACTTGTTCTGCCATGCAGGAGACTCATGGTCAACTCATGGCTGCACCAGACTGCACTGACAAGCACACATGTTGCCATGTGGCTTAGGTTGTAAAGGCAGGTTAGGCTGTAAAGCAATGCCTACCCAGAGGAGCTCTGAGAACATTCCCAAGAGGTGGGCCACGCCATACCCACTGCATCTGCTAATTGTCTGGCAAGTGCCCTTTCCCACAGCCCTTTCCCTTGAGCTGATTAGCTCACGATGACACAGGAATAACCTTTGCAGCTGGCTCTCGTACACGAATGATAAAAGGCACCTCCCATCTTGGTCTGCCTTTATGCACCTGTGCAAAGACCATGTGCAAGCTTTCCCCCAAGGCTCTTGCTCTCTGTTGCTCCAGGCCTCATCTCTGACAGGTTGTTAACCACATTACAGTGCAGAAGAGGTGTCAGGTTCCCAGCAATGGGGCAGGTCCGTGTGGGTTACCCTAGGAAAAATATCTTCTTCCACTACTTCCCAGAAGGTAGAGCCCTGCATTAAATTGTTTCCCAGGCCTGGCCAGTGATGATGGAAAAGTCTTTTTCTTACCGATACTGGACAACTCTCACTCCTCTCCCAGTCAGGTGGGTGTGCAGCAGGTAGCCAAACACATGCATGTCTGGCACTGGTGTCCCATTCATCTACAGGATACAGAGAAGAGGGTCAAAAATGGGAAGCTAGGTCTGGCTAGGCAGCTCATGGGTGGCTGTCTTGGGGCCTTTAAGGCCTCAAGGTCTGGTAACTCAGCCATGAATATTGACTGAGTCTCTGAGAGCTGATATCAATCAGCCCCTGTAGAAAGAGGGAGTTCTGAGCCAGGTTTCTTGCAGAGATCAGCTCAAGTTGAAAGGTTGGCCAGTAAGAGTTCCTGAAAAATTGCAGTCCTTGTTCTAGCCACCTAGGCTTTTGGGGGTTTGCAACTGGGCCTCATTATATTTTACATGTATTCCCCAGCTTGTTCCTTAAGGATGTCACTTTTTCTTGCTGGTGTAGTTCCCTTTGCCCTCAAGCAGTGATGATATTAACTGGTGCCCTGGTTCTAACAAGCTTATGCCACTCTGCTAATGCACCTCACCCCTGGCCAGCTCCTCCAGCCCTTGTGCAGCAGTTGGACCAGACTGGTGTTAATATGTGCAGATGCACAGCCAAGGACAGCACCTGCACCAAGTTAGTCTCAGGTATGACCTGACCAAGGTGTAAACCCTGAGCACAAGCAGCAGCACAGGACTTTCCCCAGACTCACCTCCTCAAACTGGCTGCTATTGCAGAGCCCATAGGAATGGTAGGCAGGCGACCCAGGGGGGATGAAGTGGACCGGGAAGGTGAACACCCCTGTTTGCAGAACCCCCATGTCGTACTTCCGTAGATTAGGGGTGAAGAACAGTCGTATCCCCGAGCTGTCAATTAACCCTTTAAAAGCACACATAAGCACTCTCTCAACAACTGCTGTGGCCCCCTGCTCCATTTCAGAGGTGTAGTGTGGGAAGAAAGTGAACCCCTCCTTCTGGCTTCCCTGCTGCAGAAACAGCAGCAAGCAGCAGGAGCAAGCAGTGTGTTGCATGCAGTGCAAAGCGTCCAGAGAATTGTAGTTCTCTAGCATGGTAGTGGATTTTGCTGCTGCTAGAGTGAATTCTGTAGTTGGAGAATGTAGGCAGAGGGAGGGGTGGGAGTGCAAGATGCCCTCTCCTCATCCTTCTGGTGCCCCTCTCCTAAGGTGGTGCATGGAGCATGTGCCCTGCTCACCCACCCCATATTATGCTATGGCTCCGCTGTCTCAGGAGTAGTCAATTTTCCATCTTCTGGCTCAATGCTGGTTTGACTTCAGCCTTCCCATCTCCTCAGCCCCCTGGCATTCCTCTGGTTAAATATCTGCACCCTCCTTCTCACCAGCCTTGTCCTAGACACAAGTGCCTTATCTCCCTCATGCTGCTCCTCCTCCAGCTCTGACATCTCCCTGCTCCCTCCAACTTGTATTTCTAGGCAGTCCTGGCCACTGTCTCCTCCTAGACTTGAAGTCCTCTCCCCTGTCCTTCTGCCAAAGCAGAGCTCTGGTTAGTGGGCAGAACCCGAGGAGGAAATAGAGGTCAGCAGAGGGGCCTGTGTCTCCACCACCGGTGCTGCACTGCAGTGTCGTGGGCTTTGGTGACTGTCTTCATATTGGTTTGTGTTTCAGCTTGCTCATCTACAGAATGGAGATGGTCAGTTATCCTGATCTACCTGCCATAGCTCTTGTGATGCCACATTTCTGAGAAATGGGAAGTGCTACAGAAGAATAGAGTGGTGTGACTATGTTCTCACAAGCTCCTGGTTTTTCTGATACCCAATTCACCCCGTCCACATTAACTCATCTCTTAGACCTAAGCTGGTTACTTAAGCACCCACCTAATGTTACCCCTGTGGGAGCATTAATCTGCAGAGAATCAGGCATACATTTGATTTTCTTCTGAACCAGAGCCTTAACAGATTCCTCTCATGTCAGTGGAAGTTGGTCTAATTAAGATGAGAGGGTATTTCCTTTGGGAGGTGGTTTCTAGTGCATAGGGAAGTGAGAGAACACAGGGATGGCATTCATGAGTCTCAGTCAACAGTGTTTTCTCCCACCTGTCAGCAAGTCAAAATTGCTGTAGTGAATTTCCAGCCGGATATATTGAGGATCCAGGGGTGTCCCTATGGAGATTCCAGTGTCATCAGGGAACGTGTAGTCCTGGTTAGAGCAGAAAAGAAGAAAAGAAGGTTATCATGCAGGGGTTATGTTTCAACTCCACACAGGGTCTTCCTGCCCTGCAGAAAGCAGGACAATTACATAGGAGTCCTGATTTTCATGTGCCAAGAACTAGTTTCTAATTGTGAAGCAGAATTTTCTTTCCATAGGTAATTCCAGCACTTCATTTAAATTACAAGTGAAAATAAAAAGAATCAAAGTGTTTTAATCAGAGCTTGTCAAATATCTTTGACAAAGAATGTATTTTGACATCCATCAACTCATCCATCCATCCATTTATCATAGAAATAGCTATATTCCATGAAAGGCAAAGTGAACATCTCAAGACAAATGCTGAAAACATCTGTGCAGCACTAGACATTAGGAGTTGTTAACCCCAAACACTGTTTTCACACAAGAACCAATTTGCTTTTCCTTAGCTTTCTCTTCTTATTTCCTTATGCTGGAAAAAAATGAGATATGGAAACTAAAATAATGGAGGCCACAGACAAGGAATATGGGTGACCCTGTTTGCTGTATACAGCAATACAAAATCAAGGGAGCTTTAGTGAACTTAATGGCAAACCTTTTATACAGATCAAATGACAAGTCTTCTTCTGGGACATATTATTAACTGGTGGAACTACCTGATCCAGGGTGGCATTGAGAGAAATGCCTGAAAGGGTTCAGTGCCTGAAAGGGATTTGCCATATGCAAGACAGTGACAGGTACTAAGACAAACATTTCCAGAACCATTATTCTTTCTGCATGCTTTAGGGGTTCAGC